GCAAGCCAGCCAAGAGAGTTCACTTTATTGTGCTACTCCTAGTGCTGGAAAACAAACAATAACCAAGTTTTTTTTTTTTTTGTCAAACATTTAAGAAGTTGGATCCCAAAACTTGAAGTATATAATTAAAATATTCACTCACCGTCCACTTTATTACTGTAGGTACACCTGCTCAACACAAATTTCTAATCAGTCAATCACATGGCAGCAACTCAATGCATTTAGGCATGTAGACATGGTCAAGACGATCTGCTGCAGTTTAAACCAAGAATTAGAATGGGGAAGAAAAGTGATTTAAGTGACTGAACATGGCATGTATTTTGGTGCCAGACGGGCTGGTCTGAGTATTTCAGAAACTGCTGATCTACTGGGATTGTCACACACAACCGGGTTAACAGAGAATGATCCAAGAAGAGAAAATATTCGGTGAGTGCCAGTTCTGCGGGCGCAAATGCTTTGTTGATGCCAGAGGTCAGAGGAGAATGGCTGGTTTGAGCTGATAGAAAGGCAACAGTAACTCAAACAAGCACTTGTTACAACTGAGCTATGCAGAAAAGCAGCTCTGAATGCACAACACATCCAACCTTGAGGCGGATGGGCTACAGTAGCAGAAGACCACACTGTGTACCACTCCTGTCATCTAAGCACAGGAAACCGAGGCTACAATTCGCACAGGCTCAATAGAAGAACAATAGAAAGACGATAGAAGATTGGAAAAATGTTACCTGGTCTTATGAGTCTCGAATTCTGCTGCAACATTCAGATAGTAGGGTCAGAATTTGGCATCAAAGGCATAAAAGCATGGATCCATCCTGCTTTGTGTCAACAATTCAGGCTGGTTGTGGTGGTGTAATGGTGTGGGGGATATTTTCTTGGCATACTTTGGGCCCATTAGTACCAATTGACCATCGTGTGAACGCCACAGCCTACTGAGTATTGCTGCTGACCATGTCCATTCCTTTATGACCACAGTGTACCCATCTTCTGATGGCTACTTCCAGCAGGATAATGTGTCATGTAATAAAGCACAAATCATCTCAGACTAGTTTTTTTGAACATGACAATGAGTTCACTATACTCAAATGGCATCCACAGTCACCAGACTCAATCCAATAAAGCAACTTTGGGATGTGGTGGAATAGGAGATCCGCATCATGGGTGTGCAGCTGACAAATCTGCAGCACCTGCGTGATGCTTTCAAGTCAAAATGGACCAAAATCTCTGAGAAATAGTACCTTGTTAAATCTATGCCACAAAGAAATAAGGCAGTTCTGAAGGTGAAAGAGGGTCCAACCTGGTACTAGTATAGTGTACCTAATAAAGCTGTTGGGTATAAGCTGTTGTTTTGTGGTGTCTTTATTGTTTTGATTCTCTAAAGTGAACATCTATAAATGTCTTTTCAATTGTGAGTGTTGGAGTTAGGGGGGTCTGTACACTTTTATTTTATTTATGTATTGGGCCCGGGACTCACTTTTTACACCACTGGTATTGATCGTTATTCATATATGCAATTTCGTACATTTATTCAATCTTTTAACATTCTGTTAGATTTGTTTTTATAATTTAATGATTTATTTAATATGTTTTTTTTATGTAAATGTTACATTTGGCAGATGCTAATTTCCAGAGTAATTACGAGTTATGATTTTTCCCTCTATCCGCTTTAATTTCTCATCATCAGCAGTTAGTAAATTCAGTGGGTTTGTTACTGTACTTAACTCACTTGTGCAGGTTGCCACTTTGACTCCACATTAAAATTAAACATGCATTTTCCTTTTTAGCAAAAAAGCCAACATCTTGTCAACATGAGTCAGTTCGCTTTGACTGACCTCTGAAAAACCTCCCACAATCTCTTTGTCATCTGAGATTTTTGTTCAGATCTGGTTTTTAATGAGGAATGTACAACATGATTAGGACCTACAGACTCACTCAATGTACTACATTGAACTGGTCACGGTTGAGAAAGACATTTCTTAGCCTGGAAGATGAAAGCTTCTCCTGTCCACCACAATTCTGATGCAAGAATGGCATGTTAAAATGAAACGACACATTTCTGTTTCAGATAGATTTCCAGATTACAGCTTTAGAGAGAGATTTTTGATCAAGTTGGATTTTTATTATCATTATTTTATGATGTTTTCCAGCGCTAAAAGCGAAGTGACAGCTGAGATTCAGCATTTCAGAATATTAAGCACTTGCTAGACAAGCAGGCCTTTGTCTTCAGGACAGGCCGAAAGAAAAGAGGGGGAGAGAAAACAACAGAATCTGAGTGAAGAGGAACAAGGCAGTCTTTATAGAGCATGTTAAATCTGAGGAAGATATGAAGAGTGAGAAAGGCCTTCACATGCTTAAGACTGGCATCCGGCGGTCCTTTAAAGGACATTGGATTTAAGATTAATGTGATGAGAGCCTGAATGTTGTGTTAAGCCATGCACTTTCATAAAAAGGTCTCATGGAAAATTGTGACTCAGTCAAACACAAAAAAAGAGAATAACAAACCACTTGAATAGGCATATGCGTGCATGCTAAAATAAGCAGGTGAAAACCTTTGTTTGTAGGTGAACTAATGCCGTAGCTGATTTTCATGAGTGTTGTGATGATAAATGGCTGAAAAGTAGTGTGCGACATCATTCATCACGGAGAAACAGTCTGTGTTCAGCTGTGTCTTTGACAGTACTGCCATCTTGTGGTGAGGGTCTTAACTCTTCTAGAGATTTTTTTTCTCCATCATTAACAGATTTGAAGGAGAGATAATGATTTTGACAATCATAATGAACATGATAACGATGATAAAAAGGGGTGAATGATGAACCACTTAGCAGATGAGTAGCCTAAGATCATTCAGATTTTAATTTTATTAATAACAGGCTAGCTATTTCTACGTGTGTTAAATAACACCTGTTCCATAACTGGTTTAACAGTTTAGCTCATCCTAAACTGACAATTCTTTATTTACTGACTTGTTCCAAATGTGTTTGAATGTCTTTCTCCTTCTCCTGTTAAACACAAAACAAGATATGTTATATAGAAATGTAATATATATATATATATATATATATATATATATATATATATATATATATATATATATATATATATATATATATATATATATATATATACTAGTATACACTAAAAACACTAGTATTTGTTTTTTCTATACTATGGAAGTCAATTGTTACAGGTTTTCAGCAATTTTTTTTTTTTTGTGATTGTGATTGTGCTTGATAGAAGAAAGAAACTCAAGCAGGTTTGAAAGAAGTAAATGATCAGTAAATGAGGAATTGTCAGTTTTGTGTAAACTATCCCTTTTAGAACAAAACATCAGCATATATTAGATTGGAACCACTTGAGGGAGAGTATATATATATATACTCCTGCAGTAATGCTTTCTTTGCCATTCCAGATGACTTTATTAATAAGTTATTGGAGTCATTGCAGAGATGTATGGATGCAGTCCTCCAAGCTCATAGGAGTCATTCACATTATTAATGCTCTTCCCACTGCACCATGCACTTATATTCTATACTGTACATTATTTCTGCTAAGTGACAAGACTTTTGTCTAAGCAAAGTCAGACCTTACTGTCTAAATTAAATAATTTAAAATCAAGACATGATCATACTTATTTTTGTAAAAAAAAAAAAAAAGTTTAATCTCGAGGCCTTTGCCTTTTATATAAGCCACTTCTGATACCAATTGATCAACCAGAAGACAAGTTATTATAATGCACTGTAAAAAATGCACTTTAATTGTAAAACATTGTTAAAAAGCTAAATCTGTTTGTGAGGAATTATGAATGAATGAATGAATGAATGAATGAATGAATGAATGAATGGACAATAATGAATAATTGTAAAAACTGGTGCACATTTCACATTCTTTAATCGATTTTCAATTTTGACCAAAAAAAATCATGTTTTTTTCTGAAAACCACTCTGTGGTGTGTTTGTGTGTAGGTGCTGCTGCATGCAAGCGTGTAAAACAACACTGCAAAGTGTGGATTCATTGAAATATTTTATTTTAATATTAATATTTAATTGTTCAAATTCAAGGTGGCACAGTGGCTCAGTAGGTAGCACCATCGCCTCACAGCAAGAAGGTCACTGGTTCGAGTCCCGGCTGGACCAGTTGGCATTTCTTTGTGGAGTTTGCATGTTCTCCCCATGTTGGCGTGGATTTCCTCCAGGTGCTCTGGTTTTCCCCAGTCGAAAGACCTGAACTGTGTGAATGTGTGTGAATATAAATAAATGGTTGTTTCTCAGTGGGTTGCGATTGAAAATACATCTGCTGTGTAAAATATATGCAGGAATAGTTGGCGGTTCATTTCACTTTGGTGACCTTAGATAAATAAAAGACTAATCCGAAGGAAAATGAATAAATGAATGTTAAAATTCAAGTCATTTTAGAAATCTTTCTGACAAATTAGTAAAATCCAGTGCTTTTGAAGGATAGTGGCAAAGTGTAGGTGTAAATGGACAATATTTTGGAGCTGGACTGTGATGCTTAAATAAGGACTTTTAAGGTTACTAAATAAATCTTGTACATTTTTGTTATATAAACTGTTACATTGACTTATATTTACCAACAAATGATGGTAAGAAGGTAAGAATTCTCATATTGGAGTGCTGATGTCAGAAAATTGGTTCCATAAATAATCATTGGTATGCGTGCCTTCAACACAACATAGTAACATTGATTATTTAATATAATTGGCTTCTATGCATATTAGCACGCATCTACCAAAATGCAGAAACTTCTGTCGTCATTTATTTACCTTCTCTTGTGCCATTCCACATGAATGATTGATGATGAGTTTCTTCTTTTATTTCTTAAAGCATTCTGACATTGTCGTTCAATCACTGGAAGCTGCGACAGTAACTGCAGCTGTGGACTGAATGGATTACAATAGCTTTATTGTTCACAATAACCGATTGTTACTTTGTGATGGTGTGTTCTGTGCTGTTTAGACTCAGACGAGAAACACAATGACATGAATTGGAAGGTGAGACTTACAGTTGTTTTATTCATTTAAATACCATAGTACATCAACACAGTCATTTCCACACACAATGGTAAAGTTGAGGTTAACACCAGGTTTTATTTTCACGTTCTGCACTGCAGCACAACATGAGTGTTAGTTCAGCTCCGTGCAAATACAGTCAAAATCTGAGTTCAAGTGCTGAACCAAATCAAGAGCTTTCTGTGCAGTCCTTCCTCTTTAAGTGCAATACAAAAGAAACACGACAGCTAAAACAAACTCGTGTTTAAAAAAGAAACATCGTTTTAGATTTTGTAAGTGCTTTTGAGGTGAGTAGATTAGTACATAGTTTAAGAAAGACCCTTCACATTTTAGCAAAAATCATACAGAGTTCCTTAAAAATCTACTTTGCGACATTTGTGAGATTTTAGATCAAACCCTGGTTGTGACAGGATAAGACATCATCTAGTTGTCTTTCTCATTGACTTCAGCTCCCCCCACTCACTCTACTATGTGCTCCGTGGTCCGCTTATTTCTTATACACAGGCTGGTACAGCAGTAAAAACAACATTTTCGGTTAATACTAAATCATTAATAATATACAACAATATCTTAATTACATCATTATGGTCTTTCATTTAATAAAGCACCCACCGTGCGATCATTTTCTGAGACATTTGCCTTGTTAATCATCATTATGATCCAACTGACAGCACGTCAGTCGCTTTGCCAGTTTCAGTGTACGATGACATCATCAGTCTGTGACTGTTGTCTGCTGGTGCTGCTGAAACTGGCTTAAAGGGGGCTGTTCACACAGGGTATGTTTTTGCATTCCACTGCCATACTATTCTGTTATTATTCGATACAAACCTCCACTAGACATTATCCCTTTTCACAAAGTGATCCCGTAAAATTACCGGAACGACTTTACCGGTACATTCAAAAAAGCGCTGTTTACATAGGCAAGAACGTTCCCGAATTTTTCTAGAAAAGACTGTTCACGAATCCATTCCAAAATACTGGTTAATCTTGCAAACATTGACCAAAAAAGACCTCTAAATGGCTGCGCTTGTATTTGTAAACACAGAAGGAGTCTGGCTTTTGTTGACGGTTGATGGTACATAATATGTATGTGTGCTGGCGCTCACCGACTGCTTCACGTGAACTGCAGCAACAGAAGCAGAGCTTGAGGGTAGAACAAACAGCAGTTAATCATAAAAAGTTTATCGATAATTTTTAGTTGCATTAGGAAGGAACTTAGAAACTTTATCTGACTTACATCTAGCAGCTAAATGTGCCTGGAAAATATTCAAAGGCTTTTTTTTGTAAACAGCGCAAATGTGAATGCGTCTGAGTGTTCTGACTGGCTGGAGAAGAAGTCTTAAGTCAGCTAATTCTAGACCTGAACGCGCTCTTTCTGGCAATTTTCCTTCTCCGTTCACACAGCGCAGCATTCTGGCAAATTACTGCTAATGTTACACCAAATTAACCGGTATTTTCAAAAAGGGGGATGATTCCACATGATGATTCCACATCACACATGATCCCATTCCAGAACAATTGCCTGTAATTTTCCAGAAAGGTCTGTATGTGTGAAAGGGGCTATTGTCTCCTGGTTTCACTTTTACACAATGTTAGAATTCAGGAGTGACAGCTGTATTTCAATATGGAAGTGAATCCTCCACATTTTAGTTTTGTTTGTGAACGCGACTAGCTCCTGAAGTTGCAATGATTGACCATAATAAAGGGCTGGAAGCTTTTATTTTTGGTCAAAGTCATATTTAAGTGACTGGAGAATGCTTATTGTTGATTATTTAAACTAAATTGCTGGTAACAGATGCATTGTGTTTGGTTATTGTTTTGTAGGAGAAAACAATATGGAAGTCTACACTGAAAAAAAAAATATTCAAAGATGATTCCTAGCATTTACTAAAAAAATGTTAAGGTAATCGGTTGTAAACAGTTTATTTGGACTGAATTTAAACAAACAAAGATGAACATTGCTACATTCAATTTGTTTGTTTAAATTCAACCCATTCAACCCCAGAATTTTTTTTCTCAGGTGTATGGCTGACGGCTTCTTTTGTGTTCAACTGAAGAACAAAACTAAAACAGGTTTGTAACAAGTTAAATGATAAATGATGGCAGAATTTTTTTGTTTTGGGTGAATTTTTTCTTCTAAGTATGTTTGGGGCTTAGTGATTTAGTTTATATAGATAATTAAGTTGCTGGCACTGGTTGCAGTAGTATATTATTTGCTTATTTTAAAGATGAAGCATTTCAGTTTAATGTTTTTTTTTGCTAACTCTTTTTTGTTGCTCTTTTTAATCTAGATCTGTCAAAAATGTGTCAAGATATACCACATTCCGTGAGATTACTAGTACAACACATCTCCGATCAGTTTATGAGATAAACCCTTTCGCACATTAGTTTTACAAAATCCAGCTGACCCCTCAGCATTCCCATTTTAATGTGACTGTTTTTAAAAACATGTCACTTTAAAGTTTCCATGGTGATGTGTAAAGTTTATCACAACACACTGCAGCCCGATGTTTTATGTATAGATAGTTTTTATTTCCCTTTTCTGCACTTCACTTGAGAGATTAGAGCTGCAGGATTTACAACATGATAATTTATCAACATTTTACCAAATACATAGAAGTTTGTGACTGTTTAACTGGGAGAAGAACAGAATAAACATTCTACCTATCTAAACAATGCGTATCTCATCTGAATAAAGCACATTGTCTGATAATGTTTAAAAATAATTGTTATTGTCATCTTCATAGACATCAGTTTGTACATTACCATAAGTGTTATGGTTTGTAATATATACACTAATGTCTACGGAGATCAGTGTGTGTATAACAAACCATAAATGTTATGTTTTGCAAGTACTTGTGTGTATGTAAATGTCTAAAAACCTAAAATAAACATTATTTGTTTGAAAACACTGCTAAATTGTGTTATATTACTTTTTTTCTGGCGCAGTGCGAGCAATCACAAGAAAGCAGATTTGAGTTTAGCTGACGTACTGAGCATTCTGATCACACCCGTGTGATTGTGCGCATCAAATGGGTTAAAACAATAATAATTGTTACAACAAATATTCTGTTAACATAGTTGTGATAAGCTAATATCCAGTCACTTTCAAACACACATTTGTGAAGTCGTCTTCAGTAATCTTGTTCTATATCTCCGTTTCTTTTGCGACTCTCGATCTCAAAATTTAAGAACTTGTCTCTAGCTATCCTGCGACTTGCATTTTATCATTCAACCACACTGCTTTTGCATTGCTTTCAATGTAATCATGGCCTTGATCAATGTCTTTTACCATTGACTTTGACGCTTCATCAAACCAATTAATAAATGACTCCATAATCAACTCACTTTAAGTTTGAAATTTTTGCAAAAACATCCACTGTGTGAATGACCCCCTGTTCTTCCCCATGTGTTCTTGGTTGCAAAAAAAACAAATGCTGGTCACCGTTTATTATGACATCGCTTATTTGCTACTTCTCAAACGGCTCATGCCACAGCAACAATTTCTTTTTCTGGAACCGAATCATAAACCAGCCTTTACGCTACATCGCACAGACCCTTTCCTGGTTAATGCAGCAACAGTCTAGTGAAACAATATTCATCTCAAGGGAATATGGATCACTTCAATGGGAAAATAAATCATCCTTCCTCTTTCTATCTGATGGATCGGTGTCGGTTTATGGGCAAAGACTGAGGAGCTACACAATTCATGATACAAGAGCTGAATGCATTTCATGGTCATTAAAAGGCCAGACAGGTTCAGACTATTAAGACGAAGCCTTCATATCCTTTCTCATCAGTAGCCATCTCACATAGGTATACATAAACATTCAAAAATGCACACACACACTCACCACAAGCACCTGTTCGCATACTCACACAGGGACGCATGCATGTAGTCAGGCACGTAAGAGTATACATTTAACACAGATTAGTTTTGTTGCTCAGACTGTTGTTGTAAATAAAGTGCTGAACTTCTAATAGAAAAAATTCACATATGCACAGAACACACAAAGGCATTCGTATCAGGGTATGAGTAAAGGTAAAGGCCATAGTCATAGCCCTTGTATACAAAAGGAGCATCATCGTGACAAAAGGACATCATAACTATGAAGAAGCAAGTCAATTCTTCTCAAAAGCCTCTTTGGCTGGAATAGTTCACCCAAAATTGACCCTTCTGTCTTTGTTTACAGAAGAAGAAAAAGAATAATCCACACAATTAAAGTCACTGGAATGCAATAATATGTTGGAACCCACTGACTTTCACTGTATGGAAAACTTGTTGAAGAATTCTGCAAAATATCACAGAGGTAAGATGAGTAAATAATTAACTTTCATTTTTGGGTGAACAGTCCCTTAAAAATGTCAACAATATGCAAAATTTCCCCGAAAAGCAACATTGAGCAAATTTCTAACAATTCAGAATCATTAAATGTTGTATCAAATTAATAAATAGCCAGAGTTGCATCTCAGATCCTTTAATTAGACTATACTGCAAACCAGTGACATCACATCCTGCTACAATCCTCTTCACTGGAACTAAATGACAGGAGCCCAATCCCAAATGGCACACTTCATGCAAACTTAAATGTCTACAGACACACAGAAGCCACTATGAGCAGGTGTCCATAAAATACCAAAAAGCAGGGGTGTCCAAACATGCTACAGAATCTCTGTCTTGCAGACTTTAGCTCATGGCTAATCAAGGTCTTTACTAAAAACCTCTAGGCAAGTGTGCAGGATGTTGGCTTTCAAAAAGCAAGACTGGACACCCGTCATATACAGTAGCTATCCATCATTTCCTCTTTCAGAAGAGTGGTCATGAGGGCTCCCTTTGCCTTAAGTGCTCTGTCAATGCACACTTCTGCAGAGACCGCTTTGAGGTGCAATTTGGGATTGGCCTTTGCAATTCTGTGAAATTACATCATACTATCCATCTCACAGACTAGACATCAAAAGGCAGGAAAGTGTGCACTGGCAGTGCAAAACCAATCGATTGCATTCGCAGATAATCATACACGAACCTCAACGTGGCACTGGACGGGTTGGACATGCTAAGGCAAGTCTGAAATCTTTTAGATATTGATTTTCATTTGGTCTGTTAAAGTATGTGAAGCCAAAACCAAAGATTGATTTAAAAGTCAATAGAGTAGGGGACATTAGATTTGAATATTTAAGAAAAAAAAGATTAACCAATCATCTTCAGTAGGCTGTTGTTTAAAACAAAGCTTCCAATATTTAACTGACATCCAAATCATGTGATCTGAGCTATGCTGCTCTGGTCTGATGGCATGGGATTTAATTACTAGCACGATAATGTTCTCTGTGCATTAGTCTTACTGTAAATTCAATTCCCATGGAACGCAATAAAAATATGTGTGATTTGAATGCAATGTAAGTGAAAAAGACATGTGAGTAACATATACTTAAAAGCAGCACATTGCATTAAAATGAGTTTGAATCCAGTAATGGTCGACCTAACTATCTTGTATACCAGGTTTAAAAGGTTGTCATGGCACTCATCAAACAGATCAGCTAACAGATCTGAGCACCTTTCAGCAGGCAATCCATTGTTTTCGAACCATTCTCAAACTGTAATGAGGTTTTAAAGCATGTCACCAGTTTGGTCAACAGAAAGCAGTTGGTTAAAAAACGTGTTGGCAGGCCACATAACCAAACCATTAACAACAAATATAAGATACACGAAAAAATGTTAGTTGTTTCAGTTCTTGTAGACCAGCACGATCCTTCCTGCATGTGCAAGCAAGGTCCCTACCACGACATCTACTCCTGCTTCTCTTCTAGATACGTCTTCACCCGTTTGCGCACGTAGAACGCGGTGAGTGCGCTGCAACACGCTGTGAAGATAAAAAGAGCCACTGCATCATGAGCCAAATCACCATGGAGATGTTCGTAGAGACGTCTTCTCTCTGTGTAATCCAGTCGAACAGCTTCGATCTGCACTAGAGTGCAGAGCACAAGGAACACATGGAAGATCTGATGGCCCTGCCCGATGAAGTCGCAACGTCCTGGGAACCAGCGCTCGGGATGGGGGTACGAGAAGAAGTAGGCGCTGATTAAAAAGAAGAGGACTTGGTAGCAGTGGTAGACCACTGCCTGGTCGGCACACCAATGTTCAGAGCTGTAGCATCTATAGATGCGATGCAACACCGGACTGATGTCTAAACAGTAGGCCAGGCCCGAGGGCACAACTTGAAATAGCTTGTGAACAAACTTTGGCAATTTTGGGCTGGCGTACTTGCCATAGCAGCAGCCCGTACAGGACAGCCAGGCCAAGAAGGCTGAGGCTGGCAAGAAAAAAGTTCGCACTTGAGCGTGCCATTCTTCTTCCACCACATAATAGAAGTGGGCGAGGGCACTACCATATTGGTATACAGCTACACCTACGTAGTCCAAAAAATAAAAGGTGTAGTGGGAGATCTCAGACTTGGCCGAGAGAAGATGTGCCAATGCACTGCACCCCAAGTAGGTGAATGCGGCCAGGAGTAAGATGAACATCGGTTGGGCGTGCGGATCTCGCAGGAAGTCTACGGTTTCAGACAGCTCCTGAAACTTGACTAAAATAATGAGGGAGGCCAGAAGGTGTGTCCACACATTTACAGATTCGTTATGCCTCTGGAACAAAGTAAGGAAGTAGTAGCGCCAGTTCTGGTCAGGCGGCCTGTAGCCCGTGATTATGTGTGACTCACGGAAAACCCATGGCACGTCGCTCACCATCACAGTACAGGGCAGTTTTGGGAAGGCTGACTCCAGGAAACGAGGGATCTGGCGAAGCTGCTGTGCGTTGATGAACAGCCGCCCAATCTGCTCCATCACAACCGTCGCCATGGTGAGGATTAATTAAGCTGCAGTCTTTTGTGAGATCTGTATGGGAGAAGCATTCAACAGTTAAATATTACCCTTGCACTCACAAGTACGTTCACCTCTCAACACTTTAAATTGACTACCAAATTATGCGAATGCATGCATAAAAAGTAACTTGTGATTTTTCTTTTGGCCCTGAACGGTGTAAACATTCACACTTCACCTCAGATTATGTACTGTTAAACATTCTGTAGTGGAAACAACACATAGAAATGAGTTTAAATAATATTTTGCAAAAAAACAATCAACTACTAAGATTCTTTCCTTCCTAATTTAAAAGTAATCCTTTATTGTGTATTTTATACACAAACCTTTGGATAATAATATCTAACAGATTTTTTTGTAATGATTGTAAATCATCTCACAATATACAGCTTTTCCCTTATAATAAATCAGACCAGAATTTCTTATTGTGGGAAAAGAATTAATGCCTCCAAAGATTTTTTTTTCTTTAAATTAGTTAAAATATTTGGTTGAATATTGTTAATAAACACTAATAAACCATTTTAATAAACCAATTAATAAACTAAAATCTTTTTTCAGCCTTGATTTTATTTTAAATTGTTGTAAATAATCGCAGTTAAGATTAACTGATTAAAAAAGGGTTCAATTTAATTATTAATATTAAGACGGATATGGAATATATATATATATATATATATATATATATATATATATATATATATATATATATATATATATATATATGCCATGCCTAGAAAAATATACATACAGTTTAACTCTTTCCATTTCATTTGTTTCAAATATTTCCTAAATTATGTTTAAGAGGGCAAGAAAATGTTCACAGTATTTCCTATACTATTCTTTCTTCTGGAGAAACTCTTATTTGTACAGAACAAACCATCAATATACAATAACTTGCCTAACTACCCTATCCTGCCCAGTTAACCGAAAATAACCTAGTTAAGCCTTTAAATGTGACTTTAAGCTGTATAGAAGTGTCTTAACAAAAAAAATCTAGTAAAATATTATTTACTGTCTTCATGGCAAAGATAAAATAAATCAGTTATTATAAATGAGTTATTAAAACTATTATGTTTAGAAATGTGTTAAAAAAAATCTTCTCTCCGTTCAGCAAAAATTAGGGAAAAAATAAACAGGGAGGCGAAAAAATCAGGGAGCTAATAATTCAGTGGGGCTAATAATTCCTACTTCAACTATATATATATATATATATATATATATATATATATATATATTTCTAAGCCTGGCACGATAACTGGTTTCAAGGTTTACCATGGTTTTGAAAACTCAAGGTTTTAAAGCTGCCAAAATTTTCTGTTATGCCGTTCCTGCTGTATTTTTAATTTTTTAATGTGTTTTTTTAGGGTAACAGCAGTAGTCACATCAAAAGCTATCAGTCAGGCCACGATTTAGCAAACATTTTAAAAACTAATCACTTATAAACCAACATCAAAACATGCTATAGAGCTGAACAATGCAGTGGCTTTACTTTACATCCAAAGAACAGAAAGATGTAAAGAAAACAGTATTTTTGGATCTAATGAAGACAGAAAAAGTCAATGATTTATTTTAATTACTTAGCCTGACATGTTTACTGTTCCAAAATATTTTACATTTTTATTATATATATATATATATATATATATATATATATATATATATATATATATATATATATATATATATATATATTGTGTTCAATGGGGATTGTGGGGTTTTGCGCCATGCCCTTCCAGCGGCAACCCAACACTGGGAAACACCCATACACACACACACACTACCAGTTCAGGTTAATCAATTAACCAATATTGCATGAATTTGGACTGTTGGGGAAACCGGAGCACCCGGAAGAAACACACGAACACGGGGAGAACATGCAAACTCCACACAGAAATGCCAGGGCTCAAACCAGCGACCTTCTTGCTGTGAGGCATTCGTGCTACCCACTGCGCCACCATGACACCTGCCTAATATATATAATATATACTGTTCAAAATTATTATTAATTCTGTTCTGTTTACACCATCACATTTTGTCTTGAAACCATAAGCAAAAAGCTACCAACACATTTTAGTGAAAACATAGAAAAGTTGAAACCTGTTATTCTTCATTTTAAACATCAATTCCTGAGAATCATCTCCTGGTGTTGAATGTTTGGATTTAAAATATCAAGGTTTCATTTGCTTATCTCAATTCTGAATGAATGGAAACGATGCTTAACCACGACCTAGGTGCCCATGCAAATGAATGTGTTAAAATGAAATATTAGAATCGTGAAGCCATTCTTTTATGAAAAGCATGTTACTTATTGTAAATGTGTTGCAAATTAAAAACCAGTTTGTCCTGAATATTAAGACATCGTGATCCAAATGGGGCGTATCTTCTCGACGCTCTTATGAATAGACATCATCGCTTACGTAACATCTGCTCTCTATCTCTCTCTCTGCGTAAAGCTCCTCGTGCACGTGAATTATTGTTAAAACGAAATTATCACTCAATAACGTCTGGAAAAGCAAAGGCCTAGAAAGATTAAGGCATTTTCAAACCTATTAAAACGACGAGAGAAAGTGTGAGGAAAAGGCAGAGGACATTTTTAGTGATGGCATGCCAAAAAGCACTGAAGCCTTCCCACACCCTCGAGCGCTTTCTCTCGTAAAATCTCGAAAAAGAAACGTGAGACGCCGGAAGCGCAACAATGAAATGTCTTGACAATATTCAAGGTCTACAGGTGCATAAGCAACAACACAACGCGTTTTCTTCTTCACCTGATACTGTATCGTATTAAGCAAATGTCGGTAATGTATTGTGCTCTAATGATAATTCATTTTCGTCGTTTTCATACCATACACGCGCATTTAACGTACTAAACAACAGTGGTGTCTGTTTTTAAAAAGTTTAACATCTCAAAGCCATATATAGTGCAAATGGGGATTTTAATTTTTACCTTTTTCCTGCCTTAAACATCGGTAAATGAACTGGTTTACCTTATAAGAGATAATCTCATCGGTCAGTCATCTGCATTCAATCCCGCCGTCATAAACGTGTTGAATAAAACAAATAACAGAAAGAAAGTTCCATGATGAAGATTTTTAGGTGAATATTTGTTGAGCGGGAGAGGCTCCTGTCAGCTTCCCTGCAGTACCGCTGTCAGATGGCCGTAATCTACAGATTTCTGATTGGCAGTCGGAACTGTCAAATCGGAACGGCCGGACAGCATTGTCCCCGCCTTCGTTCAGGCTAACAGGCCAATAGGAAACCTCCCTTAAGGTGGCGACACCCTGTAAAATGTATGGACGGTGCAACGTGAATCTACCGTCTTCATGTTAAAGCCGCCTACATGTCCTCTTTAATAAAACACAACGCGAGACGGTGTGGTAAGACATAGACAAAATATATATTTATATTATTACGCAAGTGTGCCTATGATTGTGCACAATATGATGTAACTGTTTAACGGAGAGTTCTCTGATAAAAATACAATTCTGTCAGCATTTTGTCACCCTCCACTTATTCCAAACTCTATTCCAGAATATATATATATATATATATATATATATATATATATATATATATATATATATATATATATATATATATATATATATATGTAACCACTTAAACATGAAATGCATCTTCTTTTGTCTTCAAATGCTCAAAAAAAGTTTGGCATCATTTTAGGGTTCGTAAATGATAAGTTAATGTTCATGTTGGGGTGTTTCTGTCTCTTTAACAAAGCATATTCATGCATAATACCTCATGTATACGTTTTGTTAACCTGTAATTTCCTTTGATTGCATTCTAATATATATTTAAGGTACATTTTGTATATTATGTATGTATTGTGAGTGAATTGTTGTTTATTTCCAAGCTATGTGAAGGCTTATCTCATCTCCCACACAGTCACTCTGGCTGACAATGTGCCCTTGTCAAACTAGTGTTAAGACTGGACAACAAAAACAAAGGTCTATATTGTGAATTTAGACACAGGAAGGCAAAAAAATTGCTTGTTAGTCAAGTAATAATCCACTATGCAGCCCTGTACTATCATAACGTTGTCAAAGAGAGAAAGAGGTTTAATGTTTCTTTCTCATATACTGTAAGTTTGCTTTTATGATAATCTGATTGATGATTCATATCTGGTCATGACAAAGCGCAAGAGATTGGTGGTGATTTAGGTGGTGATTTCACTCCAAATTTCCGATTTATTGAGTCATTCAGATTGAGTCACGGTAATGTGTGAGTGGTTGGAGGTGATTTAGACATTGCACTTCATGCAGGTTCGTACAACACAGACAAACAATTGATTTCATTTTTATTTTATTCGATTAAAAAAACATTTATTCACACAACATAGTACTGGACATGATCTTTTTGGATGCATGTAATTGCTTCTAAGGGAGTTCAGAATCATAAAATAAGGTTGGATTCATTTTTAGAAAAGATTGATGCACTATTTCTCAACACATAATAATGTGACGGCATGTGGACAAGCCATTTATCACTGCAAAGCTGTTAACTACTTCCATAAATGTTCATGCATCTAACTGTTCCTGCAACAAAGGATGAATCAATAATAGCTGTCGATGTCTCAATGTTTTTTTTTTCTGAAATCATTTTGAGACACGTTTATTCTAATAACTGCTTGACAAACTCACAACCACTAGATGCCAGTATTGTTCAAATACAGTCTCAAGCGACATTTTTATTAGTTTTTTAATGTTCACACATTGCAAGTAGTTTCTTTTTTTATTAGTGCATATTGAATATGAATAACTATAAAAGTATGGTCCAGTAAAGGAAATGCTTGCGGATAATGAAATGTGTTGTTAACACTAAGAATACCATGCAGATTACAAAGAGTACATCAAAAAGTGTCCAAAAGATCTGATTATTCTGGCAAAACCTATTTTCCAGTAACTGCCATTCAACTCCATAATGTACAAATTGTGAAAGTTTTTTTTTACTCCACATTACACTCTGGCTGACTGACAGATCAACAAAGAGGCAGTGGCAAAACTGGCACAATAACAAACAACTGTGCAACTTTATTAAGCTCAAAGGATGGCAGTACTGACATACAAGGGAACAGGTGGACTTGCACAATGCAGTATACCAAGTATATATTAGACCTATGCATAACACAGGCATGCTTCCCTACGCTGCTCGTTTTAAACGCTATAGAGTTGCAACTGGACAAATCTACAGGTTAGAGGGGATGATGAAAGACAGAACTGATTACACACAAAGTGATGAAATTTTGTGCACCAGCTTTTCCCCAAAACTCCTTAATAAAAAAGTGGCAAGTACATGGATCCAAACACGGAAAACTGGCCATTTAATGGAACAAAAAATAAATCTTTGGATACATTAAAAAACCCAATACTATACCCTAAATGAAAAGGAAAATGAGAGGTGAGACTTAGTTTTCATCCTCGCCTCCCTCTTTTGTTTCTTTGTTCTTTCGTACCTCTTCAAGCTTCTTGTCCTGAAGTAAACGAACAAAAAATAAACATTTGTAATCAATTTACTAAAGCATTTATGGATGACATAATATACATGCATTCAACTTTTCCATACACACACCTTCTCTTTGAATTTCTCATTCATAGCTGCCATGCGTGCTGTGCGGTTTTCTTTGTTGGCTTCCATTTTCTGGTTAAGTTTCTCCTCTGCCATCTTGCTGAAGTTGTTGTTCTCCTCCATAGCTTTCTGAAGGACCTCCTTCTCATGCTCTCGTTTCTCAGCTAAGTGCTTCAGTACCTCTGCCTCATGGTTCTAATGTGAGGAGGCAAATTAATAAGGACAGAAAGCACATTTCGTAAACAATGCATTACTAAAGCAGCGCTTACCTTGCGTCTCTCCTCTGCTGCATCTAGTTTTTTCTGGATCTCATCCAAAGAAACCTCCTTCTTCTTGGGGGTGGAAAGTGGGAATTCTCCCTTGGCATCTGGAGCCGTGGGACTCAGGATGACCTCAAAAGCCTGTCCTGAGGCACGCTTGTCCAGTTCCTTGACCTGGATATCAGCTAAGCATGCAACGTTGCATTTAATAGTCCATTCTTCATCTTCTTTGTTCAATGACTTCATTTAGATTGCGGTTATAGAGAAGCATATTGATTTACAAAAATTGAGCTCAGCTCATATATGCTTTCACATCTTACCTCCAGAGGACGCCATTGCACTTTCTACTTCGACGGTTTCAGACACCTGCGAAATGATTGTAAATAATAATGATGTTAGAAAAATGGAAACGTTTTGCTGTTAACAACAATGTCTAGGCAATCTTTTCACTCAACCATATTTAACCACAATGTATTGTAAACAGACATCTATACAGCAGTGTTCAATCAATGAATGAAAAATGTTTAAGGTAGACATTTATGAAAAATGATGACTGGAGTCAGTCCCTGCTGCCTACTATAACATTTTTACAAGATAGGAAACGATGTTTATATAATGTAATAATGTACACGTGCTTAAGGGAGGGGCGTCGCCACAATAGACATGCATAATTTACTAAGTGAATTGTTTTACGGTAAGGAAATAGGCAAGACTGTGCAATACTCGTTAAAAATGCAACAAAAATACAGCCTAATTCATGCCAATATATCCTCCTTTTGCTGAAAGCCAAGAAAAAAAGACGAGTCACTGCCAGCAGAAAACCCGAATCCTTCCATTCAGACGTGCTGTCATCATCGTCTAATTAAACGATAATAGTTCAATTAAAATATACAACACAGGCTGACCGCTCTGGTGAAATGTAGAGCAAACAACGCTGCCTCTTTTTTTATAATGTAACGTGATTCAATTGGCCATTGAGAGATTAAAACAAAGGAGATATTGTGTAAGAAGCGAACAAAGACAACAGAGCATTGATCCTCGAGCTAATGCCCCCTGGAGAATCGTCAAATATTTATTATTAGACGAACTTGTCATCTCAAAATGTGACCTGTGAACAATTCATAGCTCGATGGCTGAAAATAAACATCCAACACTAGCGACTATCCGGAGGGATGAAAGATCTCATCTGCAGACAATAGATGGCCGAGATACACCCATAATAACAGCATGCAAAAATGCATAATATTACATACAACACTTTATTGCATGATGACCAAGAGCTTAATAATGTTTTAGAATATGCACATTTGAAATGCAACATTTACTAATAAAGCCATGGCTGGATCACCCGTTTCCAGCACACCAGATCACACCCAAATCTCTACCGTTTCAAACCAGACACAACTGCACTGCCTTTTTTACAGAATAATCTGTGTTGGTATGCCAAATGCAGCGTGCTATGCCATTACTGATCGATTTTATTGAAGCATGTGAATATAATTAATATAATATGACGGCATAGTTGGCGAATGCACAAATAACGAAGACAAAAGACGTCGAGAGCCATTAGATCACCTGTCACATTGTGTTGTATGCTTGTTAGGATTTAAGTGAAACAGACGATAAGTCTGTGGATGACAATAAAGCACGTTTTTGCAACACCAAACAGTCAAAAATAAACCTGCAAAACTCGATGAAACGACAGCCAGCTGGCTAATCTCGACCAATTCCCTCCAGATTTAACGACGATAAACACATTAATGGTCCCGCTACGAGCTGTTACTCGACTGCGCGTGCTATTTTTAAATTCACAGACTTAACGTTAGTTACTGAAACTCTCCAACCGAACTGAATATTCTCGAAGCCCTTGTCCATTAACGTTACCTAACGTTGTACATCCCCTCCCCAAAAAAGGAGGTAAATAACGGTGTGGCAGAACATTATAATTGTAAGAATTTAAAAGTTTACTCTTTAAATGCATTCGCTGTTTGACACGTAAGGAAGGGATGGGATATGCGCTGCAAAAATAGTGATATTTGACAACAACAACAAAAAAACACCCACCTTCAGAAGAAGTGGAAATCAGGGAAGGAGTTGCCCGCGCGCAGATTCCTCTCTGCCTCAGCATCAACGGTTCGCTTCGCGCAAAAGAGGACCAAAATGTATTACGTCACTTTTGGATGAGACCAATGATTGTCGAGAGCAGAATTCTGGGAAATGTAGTACGGTATCGTTTGAACGGTAAAATAAGTTCATTGTCCTAACATAAACTGCTTTTAAATGTACTAAATGCACAGCTAGTGTTTTTCAGCCAATGATGAACTTCCGATTAAAGCTTTATGTGACTGTTTTCAATTTAATTCCTTTTACAGCATCAATGTTGTAATGTAGTTCAAATGACTTAAATAGACCTAATCATTCATTTAATTGTTAAAGCTAAAAAGAGACGAAAGACTTTAAAACAATGGTGTAAATGCTAGCGACGTCATTAGAAACAGGCTAGCGCAGAAATTCCATTGAAAATACTGGCACAAAATTAATTTCCATATTATAAAGACTTGACGTGGAAAAATATACTTTAATGTAGTGCTTTTTCTTTGATACCCACTTTATATCGTATCTCAGCCAGGCAGTGAAGATCAACGTTTTTTGTATGGGATGACAATTAACCGGAAGCCATGGGGCTGGATGACTGAAATTAAAAGTCAGTGTGGATATACCCCATTAGTATGACCCTCTTCACACTTAGGAAGTATGCTTCTACTATATTATTCTAAATAGAAATGCAGTTAACCCATATATGACGAGAAGCATCAAATTATACGATTGCTGACAAAAATGCCCTTTGTATGAAAATATGTGTAAAAACTACTGCTCTGTTTCAACAGTTAATATGTCATCATTTATGTAGTGAAATGTTTAATAGCATTGCCGTTTGTCATTATTTTATCCAGTGACAATGTACTGTTTATGCTAACTAATATTTTCGGGTAGCTGTTGGGTAGCCTATGTTTAAAAAGACATTGCTCATTTAAAGCTAAAGTGTATTAGCATAAGTTTTAAGTCAGTTTTTGTTTACATGATGTTTTTAGGGCAGATTAACTAAAAAATGATATGATAAAAGGTCATGTCAAGAAATGTTTTAATGTTACTTTAACTTTAAAGTGCACAAATATTGTGATTATTGTGGTTAAAAGTGAAAACTCACCTCTATAGCTTTTGTATATAAGACATTGGCTATAAAACATTTTTCATACAATTTTAGAATTGGGATTTGACCAGCACAGTGACACTGGCTTAACCAATGGTGTGGGTTTTGGGTGGGGCTTTCAGTTAAACTGACCAGTAGCAGATGGAGACTGAGTCAAGTTGGGAGACCTGTTCAACACAATAAGCATTTTTGTTTAGTCACATACATCACACTTAAGTAGCTTCAAGTTCATTTTGTTTTGTTATATTCACCAACATTATTAGTAGGCTGTGTAGTGAAAGATATCAACTTGAGCTTGAATTTGACGCTCACATAATGCACAGTTGGGTCAGTTCTGATTATGTTAGAGCTTTGTTTGTAAGGCTATAATGTAAAGTGATTTACCTACATGACAACTTGTCATAAGCACATTTATTTTTTCTCAAAAACCAGCTTAAAAACTATAATCACATGAAGCTTTATTAGGAAAAAGTGAGTCCTGACCTCACCCCTGGTATTAGTCATCTCGCGACATGTCAGAGATGACTATACAGTCAATAAGTTCTTAGAACAAAACAGCGACACGCCGGTGACCTGCTTTACAAATTGTCTTCGGTGCGAAGCAATTAACAGTTCACTTGGCATTAGTGAGTGTTTTGCTTCTGTTCTTCTCTGTGCCTCAGTATCATTGTATGAACTTTAGCTAAATGGCAGAGCTGATGATTTCAAGCTGACTGGATTTTACAGTCTTGTGGCTGCTGTTTATTCCTGTGTCACTAAATGCTGTTGGAGTCGTTTGTTTTGACTCTTTAAATGCATTAATATTGTAGTGTGATCATTCCTTAGCTCCAAATTCTTCACCAAAGTGAAGAAAATACATTATTTAAAGGGATAGTTTAGTCAAAAATGAAAATTCTGTCATCATTTTACTTGTTTCAAACCTTTATAAGTTTCTTTTGAAGTTGAACACAAAATAAGATATTTTGGAAAATGTTGAACACCTGTAACCACTGACTTCCATGATATTTGTTTACTGTGGAAGTCAATGCTTACAGCTTTTCAGCTTTCTTCAAAGTGTTTTATTTTTTTTGAAGTATGAAACTCATTAAGGTTTAAACCTCTTGAGGGTCAATAGATAGTAAGTAAATGTCATTTATCATTTCATATATCATATCATCTATCCTTTTGATGGTGTTGATTGTATTGCTTGATTATTTTGCTATAAAGATCACAATTTTTTTTATCTGTATCATGCTCTGCCAGCCTCCTCCTGCCCCACCCTGGATCCCATTCATCCCGTTTGAGGGGGGACATTTTAAAGCAAGCTGCCCAGGGGAAGGGGGAGCAGATGGTGCTTCCATGCCTCGCCCTGTCTCGAGTCTCTGGTGTCTTACACAAAGACACAAAGAGAGCTGAGAAACCCCCTGTTGGGACATTTTTTGGCTGCTATCACTGAGGGCAAAGGGTATCATACAAGCTATTTTAACATATTTTTAATGACCAAGTTCATCAGAAGGCCTTTAATAATAGAGACTTACTGCACATTTGTTGCTTTCAACACATGTTGCTGACTATGCATCTCTGGAAGAAAATAAGAGAACACTACTTATTATAGGTACATGTACATAATTAAACGATAAATTGTGTTTTATTTTATAAATGTCTGTTAATATTGTTCTTAAAATTTTTATTAACACATAATAATTTAGAGCACTTACTCTTTTTGCAAAAAAAATGTTTTCAGATGTTGTGCAAAATGTGTTCATATTTTTCAGATAATTTGTCATTTTCTGCAAATAATTGCTCTAAATGATAATCTTATATGACATTTTGATGACATGTTATCAGTTGTAATATTTCTTTTATTTCGGCTAGAATAAAAGCAGTTTTAAACAAATAAATAAAAAACAAAACTATTTGCCCCTTTAAGCAATTTTTTTTCGATAGTCTACAGAACAAACCATCATTAAACAATAACTTGCCTAATTACCCTAACCTGTCTAGTTAACCTAAGTTACCTAGTTAAGCCTTTAAATGTCACTTTAAGCTGAAAAGAAGTGTATTGGAAAATATCTAGTTAAATAGTATTTACTATCATCATGGCAAAGATAAAATAAATCAGTTATTAAAAACGAACACATTTTAAAAACGAAATGTGTTAAAAAATTCTTCTCTCCGTTAAACAGAAATTGGGGGAAAAAAAAAACAGGGCGCTAATAATTCTGACTTGAACTATATATATATATATATATATATATATATATATATATATATATATATATATATATATATATATATATATATATATATATATATTTATTTATTTATTTATTTATTTATTTTTTTTAATTATATACAGTTGAAGTCAGAATTATTAGCCCCCGTGATATAGACAGCAGAAGACCATACCAGGTGCCACTCCTGTCAGCTAAGAACAGGAAACTGAGGCTACAGTTCACACAAGCTCACTAAAATTGGAGAATAGAAGATTGGAAAAATGTTGCATGGTCTAATGAGTCTCAATTTCTGCTGCAATATCGGGGTGGTAGGGTCAGAATTTGGCGTCAACAACATGAAAGCATGGATTCATCATGCCTTGTATCAGTGGTTTAGGCTGGTGGTGGTGGTTCTGTAATGGTGTGGGGGATATTTTCTTGGCACACTTTGGGCCCATTAGTATCAATTGAGCATCTTGACAACTCCACAGCCTATCTGAGAATTGTTGCTGACCATGTCTATTCGTTTATAACCATAGTGTACTCATTTTCTGATGGCTACCTCCAGCTGGAAAAAGCACCATGTCATAAAGCGTGAATCATCTCAGACTGGTTTCTTAAACATGACAATGAGTTCACTGTACTAAAATGGCCTCCACAGGCACCAGAACTGAATCCAATAGAGCAGCTTTAAGATGTGGTGGAAGAGGAGAAAAATCTCTGAGGAATATTACCAGTACCTTGTTGAATCTATGCCATGAAAGATTAAGGCAGTTCTAAAGGCTAAAGGTGGCCCAACCCGGTACTAGTAAGGTGTACAGAATAAAGTCTCAACAATTAATAGTTTCTTATTTTTTCCAGAGCTATATTTATTCAAAATTTGAAAATGAAAAAAAAAAAAACATTTACTGTAATCGTCACTTGTTATTGTAAAGCATATAAATTATTAAGTGGTTAATGAACTTCACAAATGTAATTGTTTAGGCAAGTTTTAAAATAATGAACATTACTTGAAACTTTCAATAAAGAAAACCTAATTTGGCAAAGTAAACTGTTTTTAGATATATAATCTGAGATATATTCATTAGTCCAAATGCATGACTTTATTCATATAAGAAACTTTTAAAATACAAGTACAATCTCTACTCCAGTGTTTCACATAACCTTTGTGAAAATTATTTGTCAAAATAATGGTTATGTGTGATGAGACATATTGCTCAAGTATAACTTTTAAAATAGAAAAAACTATTGTATTGTCCCAAATATTCATTCATTCATTCATTCATTCATTTTCTTGTTGGCTTAGTCCCTTTATTAATCCGGGGTCGCCACAGTGGAATGAACCACCAACTTATCCAGCAAGTTTTTACACAGCGGATGCCCTTCCAGCTGCAACCCATCTCTGGGAAATATCCACACACACATTCACACACACACTCATACACTACGGACAATTTAGCCTACCCAATTCACCTGTACCGCATGTCTGTGGACTGTGGGGGAAAACGGAGCACCCGGAGGACACCCACGCGAAGGCAGGAGAACATGCAATCTCCACACAGAAATGCCAACTGAGCCGAGATTCGAACCAGCGACCCAGCGACCTTCTTGCTGCTAGGCAACAGCACTACCTACTGCGCCACTGCCTCACCTTGTCCTAAATATAACTATTACAATTTATAATAACAGTTAATAACCATTTATTATGGTGCTGCATATGATC